ATTTGTGTAACTAAATAAGCAACAACATTTACAAAGTTATCATTATCCATTATCAAAGTAGTATGGACAGAGAAAATACCTGCATAAATTAAATACTCGGATACGATTGGTTTTGTAAATATTAAATAACTAGGAGTGTGAATACTTAAGAAGTATATATCTTTCGAGAAACTTTTAATTTTATTTATCTAAGTGAAGCTAAGGTGAAAATAATTATTTTCTAGATCCAAATATAGCATAATTTATCTAAAACGAAGAGAAACTTAGTACCTTATAATACGATTGAATATTAACAAGTGTTTTATCCAATAAACCACGAGGTAACAAGTTAAAGACTAGACCCTGGTTATCTATGATAGAAAAGCTATTATTTTACCCAATTTATGGGACACGATATGGGACAAGTGAGGTGTCCTCTTCACTAGTCTTTGATCCGGTACAGAATCCCTAAAAGACTTAAGTGGAGAGTATAAACGGTGCTTTATCCTAACTTGATCCCATGTTACCAGTGAAGTGTCCTCTTCTCTAGCCTTTAATTTGGATCAGAATTCCTAAAAGATTAAATGCAGAGAAATCATGGTACTTTGTTCTAACTTGATCTCGTGACATTTGGCTCCAAAAATGCATGATTTCTACTCTAAAAATTAGAGGTTTACCAAAAATTGGAGATAAAAATTAGAAAGTTAGTACAGCTTGATATTAAGTCTAATATGTGTGCACAAAAAAGAGCTTGTATTAGGAGGAATATACAAAAATAACCATGAATTAATCTCATCTAACAGTAACTAATCTAAAATTTCATTTTGGGCAGCATTGACAACCAGGATATTAGCATATTTCAAGTGTTTCTTTCACAAATAGGCAATGTTTTAAATATTGGCCAGTAAACCGATATTATCAACAATTTATCGGTTTTGCGTGCCTTCCGCTATGATAAGTTCAATTCTAAATTGGTTATCGTTTTTGGATGTTTTGATAAAATGAGTTATCGATCGATATTGTTGGCACAAAAATCGAAATTTATTGGCCTTTGCTTTGAGTTTTGATTTCGGGCAACGGGCACCTATTAAGTGCACTTTAAACCCAACCCGACCCAAGTTTCTACTATTGAAAATAATTATCCTAAGCATAATTATTTACATTTTAGTATGTTTATATTTCATTAAGTATAATTAGATTATATTTTAGAATATTATATTATGTATATCACCATCCGGTAATGTCACTTCGATAAATACTACTTATCCCCGATATATTCCTCTATCCGATATGGATTTTGATTGTTCGATAAATCCACGATAACCGATATTTAAAACCTTACAGATAGGATAGATAAAAGTAAAAAAGCATTACAAAAACTTTCATGTTTTGGCATTTAACATTCTGTAATTATATTTATTAGGAAATCGAAGTGTATGGTTAGGAGAAAGTTTGGTTCTTATCCAATCAATACTAGCTATTTAGGAAAAGTCCCCCATTTTTGTTACGATTTTAGATTTACGAAAATGTAGTGACACTTAAATCTCAAAGGACATGCTTCACGATGAAAAAATTAACAAAAACGCTCTTGCACTTGGAAAATCAACGGAAAGGCCCTCACAATTGAAACAATCAACAAAAATGCCCTTCCAATTGAAAATTTCAACAAAAATAAAATTAGCAAATTATATGTTCCCACGACAATTAGACTACAACACTCCCTCATGTTCTATGCAATGCACACAACATGTGCATCAAAGTAGTAGCACTGCATTTAATAGAAGCTATCCTTTTGGTTCGGTGTTCTTTGAGTCACATTTTTAGAATCCCCAAAATGCCCTTACATTTTAAAAAACCAACAAAACGCCATCACCTAAGTAGGGTTGAACAAGTTTGGTCCAAACCGAACAAACCTCCCGAACTGCCCAAATTTTGGCAGTGTGGTGCGATACTATTTGTGAATTCGTTTGGTCGGGTTACACTTTGTAACATCGGCGTCCACCCGCCCGATCACTAGCGATTCATAATGGGCCAATTTAAATGCACTCTACTACTTTAAGCTTAATGATACGTATTTTGAGTGCGCCCACAAGTATATGTGAATAGTTACTATTCCCAAATCAAAGCTAAGCATGCGAGCTGTCTCATGTGAGAAAGAGAAAGACTACACTCATTTTTGTCTTATTTTCACATTTCAAAACCAAGTCAAGCCTCTCTCCTTTCATCAAATACGAGGCAGCAAATTAAAATCTCACTCATCTCTCTTCTTCTTCCATCTCTACTTACTTTCATTCTTACATCTTTTTCTTTGATTCTTGTGTTTTCTTTTCCTTTTGCTAGGTGGTGGGATCTGAAACAACTGATCAAACTAATCCGAAATAACTCGGTTCAGTTCGGTTCACTTTATAATGCGGTCCGGTTTGATTTGCTCAAAAATGATGAAAACCGAATGAATCGACTATTTGCTCACCCCTACACCTAAGTTACAATAACAAATATGGCATTGGTTATAAGAGCTCGGATACATGAACACAACTATATGTGTATGTAACAATGTACATGAGATCAATACTGTATTTCCTTTGCAAATGTATGGGAATTAAAAATCTTATAAAGTTTTTATGATCTTTTTATTATGTACACTATAAATTAGAAAACCGCTCATTTTTAACGTGACATCCAAAAGTCTCTTTAAATCACCATAGTTCTAACCTGACATCCAAAAGACTCTTTAAATCATACTGCAGTTTTGTGTTGGATAGAGCTGAAATGAATGTGACCCGTGTCCAACGAACTTCAAGAAGTATAAGTGAAGTGTAGGACATACGTGCAAAAGTTTATGACAAGCATTTTAAACTAAAATATGTATTAAAATGTTTAAATAAGTGTGCATATGTCTCAGGGAATGTCCAGCGAAGTGTCGGTGCATTGTCACTTGGTCGTGGAATAGTTATCAATAGGTAGATAACAAGAATCATTTTGTTTTTCATTTCAAATATTTCATATATTTCATATAAATTAGTGAAGTGTCGGTGCATTTTCATTTGGGTATGGATAGTTATAAATAGGTAGATAATAAGAATCATTATGTTTTTCATTTCAAATATTTCATATAAATTTTTAACTTTCATCTAACTTGGTATACTGATTATTTAATCTTTAAATAAATGTCCAGAATTACTTAAATTTTGGAGATAGAAATCAACAAATATGATAGATATGAATAGGTGGCTAAGGTTTACAATTAAGAAATGACAAGGCTGTTATGTTTATCCGCATGAATCTTTTATTTTAAATTTTTTCAAATCTCCTAAGAAGACTAATCCGATCATTCAAAAGTAAATGAATGTATACACAGTGTGCTATTGGGAAATGAGATATCATAAGCATAGGCGTTGATGTTAATTAGACATAATCAAAGCTTAAGCTATTGGCGTAGACATCTTCTAATTATCTCCTAACTGAGAACAGAGACACAGATATTATTCAAATGGTTAAACATATCTTAAGGGATGAAAATTGATATTGGGTCCAAAATAACTACTCTTCTAGAGTTGCAAAAATAATTCAACGTATGAGAGGAAAGAAAGAATGTTTTCATATTTTAGAAAATTTTCTAAAACTAATCATATGTTATTTTATATAATGTATTTTCCAACGGGTCTTTTGTTTTACATTTCCCCATCCATCTTAGCAGAGGTGGAATAAAAGACCTTCTAGACCAAACCAAGTTTTGCTTTAGACAATAATATAGTTATTTCTCTCCAGGACTCATAATTAAGGTTGATTTCTTCTCTTAGGTGTTAGGCAACTCAATAAAAGTTTAAGAAACTTTCTCATGACTTTCTATTAGAAAGATTTGTGGGAAGAGTTTCTATTTACAAATCCTGTTGGATGATACAAAAAGAAAAGTTAGAAACTTTAGATGCCATGTCAACGTGACGTGTCATACACTTTATACATGACTTGTTGGGCTGACACACAAAGGTGAACAATAGATGTCAAGCTCTAAAAGTGAAATGGCAAAACGGAAGTATAAAAATGAATCTCCCTGCTCTCTATTCATTTTCCATCCGTTTTCTCAAAAAATTAGAAAGTGAAAATTATTAAAATAATGATATGACACCGTACACTTTCCAAGTACTTTTATCAACAGCCAATTGTCAAAAAGGAAAAAAAAACAGAAAGTGAAACTAATTTCCAGTATTTGGTTGACTCTCCATTTACTTTCACTGGGACTTGTTTTGGCTGGAAAGTGGCTCAAAAATTAAAAGTGGCATC